CATAATATTATGACTAACTTTGAGTCATAAAGTATTTTATCATCGGTAGGTTCAGTGAAACTACAAGATGTTTTTACTACTGAGTGATGCTAGGAACACCGGGGTAGGTACATCATTACGTTCTCGAAATTAATGATCTCCACTAACCTCGAGCGCTTAGTTTAAAAAAATCAAGGTATCAAGCCATTTCGATCTAACTGTCAGAGTCAGCCGCAATCGTTACCGACTGCGTTAACCATTCAGAAGGATATGACTCCTTTTGATTCACTAGCCCGGTTTAGACCACAGCGTTTTCAACCATAAAGTGGTTGTTTTGAAAGCCGCTGGCAAGATAAAACAAACAAGGATCATTTCGCCGTTTGATTTTAAACAGCAACTGCTGGCCACCGAATTTTTTGAACGAGCTCATTTTAAACGAAGAACAAAACACTGCCAGCGAAGACGATTTAATTATGGAATCATTTTGCCGCATATCAGCCGGTTCCTACTGCATGATGCAAAATAGATTCTTATATATTTCATGTGAGTAACAGCGAAATTGGTTCAATTTGAAAGGGTAAATTCGTCGTGTATATGTAAGATAAAGCTTGAACTGAGAAGCTAGGAAGCACTGGATAGCTATTTCGGTCTGGTTGGTTCTCATCAACAGTGCAAATCTATCGACTCACCTGAGGATCGAGCCTGGGACCTCCTGGGTAGAACGCAAGCATGCTGGCCACTACGCCACCGGGTTGTACTGTATCGTGTAAATGGGAAATGAAAAACGGTCTGATCAGCTGCCCGGTGGCGCAGTGGGTAGCATACTAGCGTTCTTCCCATGAGATCCCGGGTCCGATTCCCAGTTGGGTCGATGGATTCGCACTGATGATGAAACCCAACCAGATTATAACAGCTGTCCAGTGCTTCCTAGCTTTCCAGTTCAAACTTTATCTTACATAGACACGACGAATTTATCCTTTGAAATTTTTATATATCACAGGTGTTGATAATCTAACATGGTAACAATTCGTTCATCCGCTTATTTGGAAACCAGGGAAATGACAACCTGATGTAGACCTCTTGGGCTCATTTTGCTGGAACGGATAGATGCTTTTTATGACGTTATGCGAACATCAAGGAAGTTTCTACCGGCAACCTAACCATCATAAGATTTAGAACAGCATAAGAGTATCCAATTGAACGCATAAATATAGGTAAAAGTCTGATACTTTGTGTAACTTATTTAAGCTGAGAAAATAAGTGGTGTAGTATAAATCTCACGCACGTTTGATATGTCACAATTATGCTCTGGGTACATTGTGTGCAAATAGTATTGCAAGTTATACTAAAACAGGACAGCGTCACTGAGTAAAATCTAAATCCACTATGATTGAGTGCAATTTGGTATGAAAATACTACTTTCCATTTCCGACATTCACCTGGTATGCGATCTTGATGTACGTGGAGTCCCATTGCGCAGACTTTATGTCTTATCTCCAAATCGTTGAATGTAATTGTAGATTGTAATTGTTAGATTTTATTTTCAATCTTTTGGTGTCCCAAACAAATTTAATTTCTTCTGAATCGATTGACTCGGTTCTTAGGCATTGCTGTCGGAGAATTCTCATAGTTTTTCCGATTCAGTGCACTTTTGTATACCTATTTTCTGTAAAGCAAATATATGCAATATAATTAGTCGAAGACTACGTATTTGATGCAACCCTTTTCATCATTCTGCAGTAGTTATATATTCAACACATTGCCAATTATTTAAACTGAGGGATGCCACCCAAATATGGGATGTTCACAGATTGCGAGTGCTTGTAGAACAATATGAGGAGAGTGAATATCGTCCATCGAATTATTACCCTTTGATAAAGGTGCTGGAACATTGACTCACTTAATGATTTTGTGTATAATATTTCATTATTATATACAGTATAATAATGTTGGAACATTAACCAGGTTTCTGGGTTACAATGAATGAGAATTTGGAAAAATTGGTGATAGAATATCACATGGACTAGAGAAGTTTAGAAAGTGAGAGGCAAAAGATCATAGAGGTTTGGAATCTGATAACCCAAAGAAGTGAACTGTTTGATGGTTGATGGGGTTCATAGTTTAGCCGATGGCAGTCCATAAGAGTATCGGGAGATCGTTTGGTAACAATGCTGCAAGGACGTGAGCGTAGAGTACTACTGACGTGACACGACTGGAGCAAAAGGGCCTCACATTTACAAAATGAGAGTAGAGTCCCTTATTCAATATTTTGAAATAGGCAGAGAGATAAGAACGTTTGTAGTGATTCGTCGTGTTTATTGGCTCTGGCATCATCAAAAAATGCAAAGCATCTATATTCTTTCAACTAGTGCCAAGCAGGTAAACAATCCCTTATAGTTCCCGTTCAGATTAACATGGCCAGGTACTAGCAATGGTGAATGTCTAGAAACCTTGAAGCTCTATTCATCCAATTGCTTTTTTTGTTCAAGATAGACGAATTTGACCAAACGCATCGCTTGGGTCACGTCATAGAAACAGAACGTTCGAGAATATATTAAAATTTCTTAAATAACTCTTGTCAGAGCGAGAAATGACTTTTGCTTGACATTGCAAGAAGCCTAAATAAAGCTTAGAAGGAAGTACTGCCCAGATCTTTTGCACATCTAAAGGCCTTTACCAATTGCACCAGAAAATACATTTCAGCGGGATAACATGAATTCAACCTTTTTGGGTAATAACGATCAGCGATATACGTGCAGTGGAAATCAGAGTTAAAGAAAACCTCGCGTGATAGGTGACAGGTGGACAGTTAAATGAACACGTTTTTTTAATCACTACGTGGACGGGTAAATTGAGGTTCATCCGTCAAATGAAAAACCACAGTGTGTGGTGTGATGAGCGCATGCTATGACAGGAAACTGTGAGGGAAGAAACAAAGAGTGAGAATGAGAACCGGAGCCTTGAATTTTTTATCTACTTTAGGGGTTCAGAGGTGCATGAAATATCCAAAGCTGTAATATACGTAACCCGACTACTAGCTCAGACTTCTTCCTGCTACGGCCGTTGAACGTCTGTATAGGAATGGGGAGTTTTGGTTTCTACGCAACAGTAGTTAAGAGCAATGGATGTATTAAAGAGCTGATTGGAGTAGCAACCCTTATAATTGGCAGACTATGGTGTATCCTTTGGGGCATCCTCCTGCTCTTCGGTATCCATCATGTACCACAATCTCACCTGTTTCTCCATGGAGTGAAGAATGCATCATAGACCTCACGCCGGCAAACCACTCGACAGGCGGGTTAAACGAAGTTGACGGTAACCGAAGTATAAATGCCTTGGTAAGATAACAAAGGACATGT